TCTCATGCAGAGAAAATCCGCACCCCGCCTCTCCTCAAGCCTTTCACCAGCGCCCCGCCCCGCCTCGCCTCTCGCCCCGCCCCGCCTTGCCAGTCGCCGGCGCCCCGCCCCGCCTCGCCTCTCGCCTTTCACCGTCAACCAAGCAATGGTGTCTTCAAGCATCTCCTCCACAAGTCGGGTGTCGACCAGCGGAAGCAAGGGCACGCAGGCGCCATTGCAGTCGCCGGTTCCGTACTGACATGGCCCAATAGAGTAAGAGCCGCCGCAGTTTTGCCGCTGTGACATGAAAGCCCCGAGATGGATCTCATGGAGCCCGAAGAACCTAGGGAGACTACAACTGCGGCAAAGTGCTGGTATTTTTTCTTGCACTTGTTATGCTATTAGCCTCGAGTCTGTAGGAGCAAGTATGCACTGAAAAATCTTTGTCCCGGTTTTGTGGTTGTACTACTAAAAAATTGAGGTAAATACACCAGAGGTCTTAGAACTTGCACACGGCGATCACTTTGGTGCACAAAGTTGCAAAATACATGTTTGTGGTCATGAAACTTGCGAGACCGTTCAAATACAGACACTCTCCCCGTACGTGAGTGTATCCGTCAACCCAGCATGGCACGGGCCCGCTGTCAATGACACATAGACGTGTTATTGCACAAAACCCCTTTTTCTTTTTCTTTTTTGTGCAAAAATAGTTCACTGCTGATGGGACCTACCTGTCAGGAGGAGCAATAATTTATCTAAAAATGTACGACGACCAGGTCTCATAATTAAAAAAGTTCTTTATCGTTACACCTATTCGTTTTATTTTAGAAAGCCGTGGATCATAAAAAGTTGTTCATCTATCATTTTCAAATAATATTTATTAATAATAAAAATGTTTGTATAATTATAGTAGTAATACTTTTTAAAATTAAATTCATAAAGTATTTTAATTATACAAACATTTCTATAATTATACGCACATTTTGTATAGTTCAATGTTTGTATAGTTTACAATATTCATAATTTAAAATCTAATCTGTTGGTATGAATATTTAATTATGTCTAATATTTAAATTATAATTTTGTTGAATATAAGTCATGAGTAAAAAATATGCACAGGATAATATTTAAATTATATCAACTAAATATTTATTTATTATAAAAGAATGTTTAAACTTTATAAAAGATTATTTGTGCAATTCAAAATATGTAAATGCGTTAAAAAAACTACATGACATTTATAAAAAAAATTAAACACTGTAAACAAATATTTGTGTAAATGAAAAAATGTACATTGCATTTAAAATATTGTTGACACATTTCAAAATAAATAAATATATATTCGTGTAGTTTACACAATGTACAATAATGTTCGCATAGTTCAAAAAACTGTTTGTGTTGTTTTTTGTATGCATGAAAATATTTTGAATTACACAAACATTTTTTAAAAATGTCACGTACTTGCATAGAACAAGAGTGATAAAAACATTTGTCCCCAAACTACATCACATGTCGCAGTTGCCTGGTTGTTAGCTTATTAGCGAGTGAATCGTCATGTCTCAGGTTCGAAGCAGCCGGTTGCACATTGTATGGTTATTAGATACTTCCTCTGTCCCATAATATAAGAACGTTTTTAACATTACACCTTTTTTATATTATGGGAGGGAGGAAGTAGATTTCTTATATTAGATACTCCCTTCTTATATTATGAGACGGAGGGAGTAGATTTCTTCACTAATTTTTTTCGATCCGCGATGATAGGATATATAAGGTACTTGTGCTAATCAAACATTAGGTACTCTTGACGTGGTGGTTGTCTAAGCGAGCCACACAGTAGTACATCATGGGACCGAAACCCACCGCCCCACTATTCTTTTTTTATCTGAGATGAGGGGCATCCTATGTGTGTAAATAAAAAAAGAACTGAAGGCTTTTCTACAAATCTATCATACAAGAACATTTATAGTGGCTGACAATGGACCCGTGCCACACCGGCTTTGACGGATACGCATGCGTATGGTGATAGTGACTGTATTTAAATGGCCTCACAAGTTTAGTGACCACAAACACGTATTTTGCAACTTTATGCACCAAAGTGATCGCCGTGCGCAAGTTCTAAGACCTGTGGTGTATTTACCTCTAAAAAATTAGTATGCAGGGGCAAGTAGCCTCGAGTCTGTAGGAGCAAGTATTTTTTTGAAAATTAGTATGCACTGAAAGATTAGTAGGCAAGCTACAGTTTCATGTGAGGAGGCTGACTGCGGAATGGGCAGAATTTTGCACACCCCATTCCCCTCACCCAAAACCACACCTCTGCGGTGCACACGATCGTACACCGGCGCTCGCAATTCTACCGACGAACAACACTAGAAACGGAGCAGAGGAGCAGCAGAGATGGAGGCGCACGCACCTGGACACATTGTTTTGTTCGGAGATAGGCAAGTAGCATACGACGGCGGACGGCGACGGCGACCGAGCCCTAGCGAATGGAAGAGCATTTCTGGAGGCGAGGGGAAAAGGAAAGAAAGAAGAGAGAAGCAACTGGCTAATGGGACCCACTCAAAGTTTTTTTGCCCTGTCAGCGTCTAATCGGCATCAGGGGAGACAAAACCGCTCAAGATTTGATTGAAACCACTAAAGGATGCTATTAACCTGGTTTTAGTAATTTGAAGATGTGATTTGTCCTGGTTTTGAGTTAAGGGGGTATGTACTCCAAAAATTGGATTTTGGGGTGATTTGTACACTTCTTTCTTTTATAAAAAGGCCGACATGGGTTGTGTTGCATCAGGATTTTATTATACTAGCAAAAGAGTCCGTGCGTTGCAATGGTAGAGAAACATAACACACACTTTTAACTCAACAACCATCACTTAAGACCACAATAGGTCCATCTTCTTTATTTTTGGAGGCATCATATTTGTGTTGCCGCTTATCCTCCTTCTAACCCTCGCCGGCGATGGCCTCGGTGTTCACACTAAACAACAAAAAACGTGTGTTGAATATGGTTAATCCTAAGGCGTCTCTCTCTCTCTCTCGCTTTCTCTCACTCTCGCGATGAGAAATCCGTTATTTTCCCCTGCGACATTTTCAGAGGTATGCATGTGTGTAGTTATCGATATTTTTTCCCCTATATGGTTATAGTGGGGTGTTTATTTGCAATCCGGATCACCGCCGGTATAAAAAAACAGATCTTGCGTTATAAATTATAAGTTTGCTTCCATAACAATATTTTAAAAATATTTAACAGGTAAAATTAACATCATATTTAGATTTCACACATTTTTCTAATAAAATTTCATATATAATATGTTAAAATCGAAGTTACGGTTTAAAAGATACAGATAATTTAGAAAATCATTTGTTTGCCTCAAATATATTCCAAAATAATATTTGAAAATATTTAATAGGTAAAAATAATCTCATATTCATATTCTACATATTTTTATAATCAAATTTCATATATAACATGTTCAAATCGGAGTTACGGTTTAAAAGATATGGATGATTTTAAAAAGCATTTTCTTGACTTAAATATGATACGCGGATGAATTACGTAAAACATTATTTTTTTTCGAAAAATGTAAAATAACGGTTCGGATGTGACTTAAATCCGGATGGCGGGTTGATTTCAAGAAAAGACAGAGACTTTTGTGTAAAATACGAAAATAACGATTTGTTTAACTTAAAACATGATCGTGGGTTAAATTCTCTAAAATAGAAGGACTTTTCTGAAAAATACCATGACGGACGAAAAAAATCCAATTTGCTTTATCTCTACTACTTAAAAAGGATGCAAGGTTCCCATTTCACCTCTCTTTTGTCCTACCTTGCTTATATACCACCAACTCTTTCCTTCTCTTCTTTGATTTTTTCCTCCCATCCCTAATTTTTCTCCCATCCATTGTCCCTAAAATAAAATCAATTGCCTCATATTTTATTAACTTGCTAAAATAAAAACATATTTTGTTTGGTAAGTCATTAAATTCTTACTCCCTCTGTAAACTAATATAAAAGTGTTTAGAACACTAAAATAGTGATCTAAACGCTCTTATATTAGTTTACGGGGAAAGTACCAAATAAGTGCTTAACAATAAAATGACAAGTAAATCATGATGATTGCATACAAAAAAACTTGCTGAGATTTTAGCGCATCAATATAATAATAGACGTGCAGTCACAAGCTAACTACTAGAATGTTTGTACTTCCCGTTACAACGCACGGGCAATTGTCTAGTTATTAGGTAAAGATTTGCGTGTCCAGACGCATCCGCCAGCATGGTCAGGTTTTTATTTTGGCAAAAGCATGGCCAGGTTTGGGTTGAAGGCGTGGATTGGATACCCATGAGTATCATAGGGTTTGTCGAAACCTATCAACATAATGGTTTGGAAGATATCAAGGCGAGTAGTCCAATGATAAAAACGGCCCGGGTTCCAGCCCAACTAGAACAGCCCACTAAGGCACGCACTGGGAGGCCCACTAAGCCGACAGAGGCAGGCGCTCCATGTTTCGATCCCATTCCGTCCCGTCCCCGTGCGTCCCCTGCCCCGCCCCCGCCGGCCGCCGCCTCTGCCGCGCCCCGCCGCCATTGGACCGAAGGCCCGCCGCCCTCCTCCCGCTCCCCTCACGTCACCCCCGCCTCCAAGCTACGACGCGCGATCCGCGCCCCATTCCGTACTGCTGCCCCGCCACTGCCTGTTCCCCTCTCTGCCTCCCCCGCCTGCGACGGCGCGGCACGCCGGCAGTGCTCCCCGGCACCCTCTGGCCCCCGTCGGCTAGTGGTTGCCGCCTGCACCTCCGAACCCGAGCTCCGACGCGGAGAGAGACACAAGGAGGAGGAGGAGGAGGAGGAGTCGTTGGCCTGCTGCACTGCTTGCCTACTGCTCCGCTTTTGACAGGAAGGGAGAGCCCCAATGGTAATTTCCATCTCTAAACAGATAACTGATGCATTGAACATTTCAAATCTTCAGCCAAGATCGACTTGTGATACAACTGTGTTTATGCCCGTGAGATGATACAGGACATGAATGAAGAGCAACCTCATGCTGAAGATCGGTGCATACTATGGTCGGATGGGATGCAGCTGCTCAAAGACGCGGCAGAAGGAAAACATTTCCTCCCTACCGGACTTGAAGGGTACTCCTATCTCGAATGTAATCATTTGGTTCCCTGTCAATTGATGCCTCGTGTCATGAACCTGCCGATCTCTGTCGAGAGAACCTCCCCATCATCATGCAGAAAATTACACTGTCTTAGCAAGTAGTAGAATATATTGTAATTTTTCATGTCCTGAATTCGCAGCATCGATACGCTTCTTGGAGGTGGGCTGCGCAAAGGCCAGTTGACAGAAATAACCGGCCAGTCATCTTCTGGTAAAACACAGGTGAAAACACGATTGATCTTTCTCAACTCCAAGATGGCTAATGTGCTTACCTGTGAACATTGCGCCGTCGAAAAACTGCAGAGTTACTCATAATGCAGAAGCTGTTATTTACTCTATGTACTTATGCACATCAACTGCAGGTCTGTCTATATTCTGCTGCACATGTTGCAGCCAGGCATATGGGTCTTGTTCTCTACTTGGATACTAGTAATTCATTCTCCCCTAGCCGAATTGCTCACATTCTTGATGAACTACCCATCTCTTTGATCAAAGAGGTTAGTAATAAACCAGGGATCTATGTTCGTGCCCTGCTCCTACCTATTGTCTTCACTCTTCAGGGGATTATCATATCTTTTTGACATTCTTGTGGTATAACTAGAATGGCATTTGCTTTGGCAATCATTAGATTACCCTAAAACTTTTTGACCATGTGATTTCTAAGCACCCGATTTCCAACATGCAGCCAAAGGATGTGAGGCTTAAGAGGGTCATGAGCAGTATCATTTGTGAGTCTGTATTTGATATATTTGCTTTGTTTGAAGTACTAGATCGACTTGAAGTCTCATTGAATGGAAAGGTTAGTATGAAGGGATATAGGATTGTCTTCAATCTCCCTTTTTATTATCCTAAACTCTTTTCTCACATGTCACAAGCTTAATAGGTAACTAATGGCAGTAACAGGATATGCCTGCTTATCATTGACTCGGTATCATCTCTACTTGCTCCCATTATCGGCGGGAAGAATTCACAAGGTTCTTGCATAGCCTTGTCTGATTGATTATTCTTTTTGTACGTTATATGATGCAGTTTAGCACTTTAGTAGTTATACTAGAACTAACTCACGCCTTAAGGGTCAATGTCCCAAGAGAGACATAACATATACAATTTCTTGAGTTGCGAAATGTAGAAAATTGGTGTAGTGATCAGATTGTGCAAGATAGATTGTTTACAATCAGTAACTTAAACAACACAGCCCAACTGATTCACAAATATGCAGCCTGACATTGATAATAGTGCACTGTGTCTTTGTCAATAATTTGAGTTCCTAAAAACATTATTTGATGACATGATTGCTTGCTGAGAGGGCATCATTACTTCTTTGAAGTGTAGCCTGAACTAAAATAAATGATGTTCTTTTCTGTGAACCTGTATTAAACTCAACAGGGCGGTCGATGATGATATCAGTGGCGATGATTCTTAAGAAGTTGGCACATAAGCACAATCTATCTGTTCTGGTAATTCTGCTTGCTCGAACTTGATTGGCACTCATTCATTTGGATTGGTAGTCATTCATCTTTATACTGTGCATTTGGAGAAGTTTGATCCCATCTGTCAATCTGTTCCTGTTTACTTTATCAGAGGGTAGTTTGTGGGTGAACTGCTGAGTAGGGTGTATTTGTCATGTACATATCCAGTTTTATATTAAGCTGTAGTCCCTGAATTTGCCTGTCTGTCAGGTTTCATGTCCCCAGTGAGAGCCATACTCGTTAGAGAGAACAGTAAAAAATCCTGTAATTGTATCTTATCAAAGAAGAAAGCCTTGCACTTCTAATTTTCTCAGTCGACTTCCTGCAAGCATTCACGGATTATTAGGCTTAGATGTTAGAATTTTTAAATTTTGGTCAGATGTGAAACAAATACAATGCAGTTACCATATCTATCGATCAACCAACCATCCATTTTGTGTTACTCTAGGTAACGAATCATATGGTCGCCGGGAATGGAGCTCCAAAACCTGCCCTTGGTGAGAGCTGGAAAGCTGTTCCACATATTCGCCTGATGATCTCTCGTGATCGTGGGAGCAATATCTGCACCGCGACGGCACTGAAGCACACGCTACTGGTATTTTGATTGAAAATTTGGTTATACTTGTGGAATTCGTGGCCACACAGCATTGCTTCCCTGCATCTTCAAATTTCTTGGTTGCTAATTGTTGTCATCTCCTTCCATTGCATTCTATTGGACGGGTGGAAACTGCTTCAATGCAGAACTTTGTGCTGGCTGCCTTGGGGTTTTGTTTGGTTCCTGACAGTCTGCTTTGTTGCAGGCTTGTGGTCGCCATATGAAATTTCAGTTCCTACCTAGCTGAATTCGCCGAGCATGCATGGTGTTTGAGGAGAACATACCAGGCGTATCTGGAGAAATGTGTGGCTGCACACGGCGACAATTGGGCATGACTATCGACAGCTTCACTGGCGTCAAGATTCAGACTTGGCATGTATCACAGGCGCGTCAGACGTACTCCCTCCATTTACAAATATAAGATGTTTTGGATATCTTAGTATGAACCACATGCAGATTGAAATGAGTGAATAAAAGCACTAGAAAATGTCTATATAAATTCGATTCAGAAAAATGTTGGAACATCCGATACATCTGATTTAAATTAGAACGTCTTATACCGCCTCCCTCCCACAATATAAGATAGTTTTTCAAGCTAACATAGCTTGAAAAATGATTTTACATTATGAGACGGAGGGAGTAGTTGTGAATCGGAGGGAGTATTATTTAAGGACGGCAATCTTTTTAGACGTGTGGACGGAGACTTATTTGATGCATGTGACCTCCTGGGTCCTGGCACAAGGTACTAGTATAACATAACTTTTTTTTCTACCAGCTATGAATGAGATGAGCTCACGCTGGCTGTTGTGCTTGTACAGTCACAAACTGACCATGGTTAGACTGTTAGGTAATCTTGAGTTAGTAAAAGAGTTTGTGTCATGCTATTGGTGTCCTATCCTAGAAATAAAGAAAATTAAGAGTAACGTATCATCGGCTATCAATCTTTCGTGCCGCATACGTTCGGGATAGAATGTGATTGATCCAAAGGGTGAGTTTCAACATAGATATGTCAATCAAACAGATTACAGATGTATCTGCAAACGGAGCGACTATTATTTTGGGACGTACTAGGGAGTAGTGTTCAAGTTTGATCATGCCGGCAGCGTGTGACGAACGGTCACCGCTGTTAGTTTAATCACGTCACGAGAAGTTGTACCCATATCCAAACGAATAAATGTTGCCTGTGTTGACATGGACCGGTCGTTGCTTTCCCTCATCACCAAATCGTCTCGAAAAGTCTTGCTATCGTGTGTGAAAAGTCTTGCTACCGGACGTTGCGCTCTACGGTATGTAGCTCTAGTCAGAACAGAGGTTGTTTGAGGAGACCGGCGGTCGCCGTGTCCACAACGGCTGCTCTCCGTGTATCCATCGATGTTTGTCAAACAAAAGCTGTTTGAGGACGACATTCGCCGAGCATTCTTGCTTGGCACCTTCGTCTACTAGTCAAAAGTTGCTGATAAAAATTTCTTTGTTTTTTTTGCGGCGAAGTTGCCGATAAAAGTTAACGCGCAGACAAAATGTATATCTACCTGCCACAAAAGTTCAAGTCAAAATAAAAAACACCGCTTGAGAGATTAAAATGATTTTTTTTTCAAAAATATCCAATCTGTTATAAAAATTCAACGAGAGTACAAAGCATCTCAAACATAATAAAAGTTATAAATTGGGCTGTGGGTACTGGCTGCTTTCTACCTTCTATGCGAACGCCAACAACTACCAATAACAGCAGCAAAATGGTGGAGTTTAAATGTTTTCTTTTTGTAATTTGTATGATTTCTACTTGGAAGTCACTGTATAACTTATTTGCTGTGGTGCTGTGCCCAACTGATTTTTGAATTTTTTACAGTCCCTAAATCTCTGAAACGTCCAGGTTTAGTGCATTTGTTACTCGGTCTTGTTTTTTAATGAAACTATTTTGATTTCCGTCTCTTCTTTCGTTTCGTGACATAAGTACACACGCACATTCATTATTCCGTTGTTTCTTTGTCAAACAAACATACGTAAACGTGTGTCATGTTGTTACTGGATGAAAATTCTGACTGGAATCCAATTTATTTCTAGCCGACTGTAATGTAACAGGAAATGACACTCCCCGAAAGAAAGACCCGCCACACCAAACTACTTAATCATGTCGTCCTTGGCACAGGAAACGCTTTCGCGTCGTTGTGGCTCGTGAATTACATGACGAGGCGCTGCAGTGCCCGCGGCACCGGCGGCACGTGGACGTGGAGGGCGCCCTCCAGCGCTTGCACCACCTGCGCCATGGTTGGGCGATGCGCCTCCTCGTCTTGGATGCACCAGCACGCCACCCTGCACGCCCGCTCTAGCTCCTCCGGCATCACCTCGCCGTGCAGCCGCGGGTCAGCCACGGCGCCCACCTGTCCTTCCACAACCTTTTGCGCGGCCCACACTGGGAAGAAGGTCAAGGACTCCCTCGCCCCAGTCCCTAACGTCGCCTCCAGCTCGCCGTACCTCTCGGAGTTACGTCGTCCCGAGATGAGCTCGAAGAGCACCATGCCATAGCTGTACACGTCCGCCTTGACGCTGATTGGCTGCCCGGAGATCCACTCTGGGGCGAGGTACCCCATGGTGCCTCGCATCGTCGTCAGCGCGCGGCTGAAATCCCTGCCCACCAGCTTCGCCATTCCGAAGTCGGCGATCCTCGGGGACATGTCCTCGTCTAGCAGGATGTTCTCCGGCTTGATGTCGCAGTGTATGATGCGCTCACGGCAGCCGTCGTGCAGGTAGGTCAGCCCCCTCGCCACCCCGAGCATGACACAGTACCGGTCGCGCCAGCTCGGGCATGCACCGCCGCCGAAAAAGGAGCCGGTGAGGGAGCCTCTAGGCATGTACTCGTACACGAGCATCTTCTCGTCGCCCGACGAGCAGAACCCGAGGAGCCGGACGAGGTTCACGTGCTGGATGAGCCCCAGCGTGCTCACCTCCGCCCGGAACTGCTTGTCGCCCTGTCGCGCAAGACTCTCCAGCTTCTTCACCGCCACTTGGACTTGGGTCGTGCTGCCTCCCTTGTGCTGCTTCAGAACCCCGCGGTACACCGAACCGAAGCCTCCGCCGCCCAACCGCTCCGAGAAGTTGTTGGTGGCGGCACGGAGGTCGGCGTAGCTGTACACGGCCAAGGAGGATCCATTCTTGTTCTCCATGTACACAGCCGGTCTTCTCCAGGCAAGAAGAACCCTCCAGGCCAGTACGACCGACGCGCCCAATGCTGCTACGCCGGCCAGCGTGATGCCAAAGACAAGCCATGGTTTTCTCCCTCCTTTCTTCCCGTGTCCGCTATGGAGATCCTGCAATGCTCTTTGTGAAAGCCGGAGATAAAAGTCTGACCCGGGGCCGCTGGAGTCCGGGAAGAGCTGCTCAAGGTTGCGGATGTCTCCGTGCCAGACGGAGCAACCCCCGGCCCCGGCGGAGAAGGCGTAGGCCTGGCACGAACAGTTGTTTTGGCAAGCCGACTCACACTCCGCTTTGCTCTGGGCGGCGGTCATGGCGAGCGGCTCGTCCGGGAGCTTCACGTCCGGCAGTGCCAGGAACCCGTCCGTCGTCGACCCGTTGTGCGCGCACGCGAGCGGCGAGCTCCGGCGGCACCCGCCGCTCCAGTCACTGAGCGCCCAGTCCCTCTCCGACGCCGGAGCGAACCCGGGCGGGCACCGGCACGGCAGCTGGCTCCTCTGGTTGCAGACGCCGAACGCGCCGCAGAGCGCGTACGCGTCGCACTGCGCGGTGGGCGCCGCCCAGAACAGCTGCCAGCTCCGGCTCGCCGGCACCCAGACGAACTGCTTCTTCTGGCCGTTGAGGTCGAGCACCAGGCGCGTGACGGTGGCGTCGTCGGCGAGCACGGTGGTGGTGCCCCGGAACGCCGGCGTGTCGACGAAGGTCGTGTTGTAGAGGTTGGTGCCCCTTCCGGTCGCCGCCCCGACGTCGCCCTTCCAGCGGCCCCCCGTCCAGACGCCGCCCCGCCAGTACATGCGGGAGCGGTTCCACAGCATGAAGAACTCAGCGGTGCCGTTGGGGTCCAGCGTGTCGTAGAACATTCCCGGCGCAGGGTCCTGGGCGTTCCGCCATGAGGTCAGCGCCTGGTACTCGCCGGTGAGCTTGTTCTCCCCGAGCCGCGCCCCCGGCAGGTACGTGTCCGTGGGGTGGTCGAAGCTCTGCCACAGCACGTTGGAGGAGTTGGCGCCGTCGACAAGGACCAGGTTGCCGTTGTCGCGGATCTCCGCCGTGTTGTTCGTGCCTGGCGACAAGGAAGACGAGAGGTTCGAAGACCACACCACGACCGGCGAGGCGGAGGCGCCGGTGGGACCGACGAGCTCGAGGTTGCCGTCGTCGGCGGACACCCGGAGCTCGGCGGAGGCAAGGCCGGACAGAGGGCTCGCGCGGTTGCCGACCCAGACGACGGTGTGGCCGGGGATGTCCTTGTACCAGATCCCGAGGTAGAACCTGCCGTCGGAGCTGCCGGCCGGGCTGAAGAGGCCGAGCTCGAACCTGCCCTGTGCGGAGACCAGCGTGTCGTTGCCCCGCAGCGGACGCCCCGCCGAGAGCGTCGCCGCCGCACCCACTGCCGGGGCGAAGCACAAGGCAAGGGCCATGAAAGTGGCAGCGATGAGTGGCATGGTGATGGTGGAGCGCTTCCGTTTGCAGGGGCGCAGCCGAATTTACAGGTGAATGGCGGAGAGCGACACATGCGTGATGACCCCGGCAGGCAGGCGCATTTTTCTGGTCAAGTTGTGCTGCTCGTGCATCCCCTCCGTCAAGACAGGACACGAGAATGGTTCCAGATAGAAAGTTTGAGAGCGAGAAATGGGGACAAGAGGCACGGGAGCGAGCCGTCGCGGCCACGAACGACATACCGGAGGCAGCAGCAACTCACGCGCCGTAGTCGTCCAGCGTGCCGGCGAAGTTCTCATGCACTATCAAGAACGCGCGCGTCAGGATCTTCCGGGAGGCAGAAGCCCACGACCAGCCCTCTTGTTGTTTTGCCTTAGCGATTTTTTAGCCGCATGCAAATATGGTAACACCTGCATGAGCCCATAAGTTTTTGTGGGCTAGCCTTCCGTGATTAGTGGATCAAGATTGACGTGGAGCTGTGTCCTATTCGTGCTCGTAGTGGACGCAGATGACGCGTCAATTTCATTAGTCGTGGGATGAGAATCAGATTTGAGCCCATATTTCTCGTTCTTTCTGTATCTACTCCGTTGAATAAAAGGAC